GACGTTTGTTCTCAAACCACCTACAACCAATCAACCCCTACGAAGCCAAATTTCACCCCTCTCCACCGAACAACGCTCACGTCAGTATAGCTAAGCTGACAATCTTTTTGTTCTTAACTATCCTAAAAATAGGTCTCTCCCAAGACGGCTGCGGAGTCGGAGTCGGAGTCGGTCGGAGTCGACAATTCTGACCGGAGTCGGAGTCAGAGTCACCGAAAATCCATCGACTCCGCAGAGTTGGTAGGGCTGCGAAATCAGAGTCGGAGTCGACAGGTTTTCCCGGAGTCGGAGTTGGTTTTTGGAAGTCAGAGTCGGAGTCGGAGTCACCGAATATCCATCGACTCTGCAGCCCTGGCAGTCACATGTCTCGACTCTCACCTAAGCACAGCCAGGTTGGGGATGCCTTTATACCCACACAACCAGGGCTGCGGAGTCGGAGTCGGAGTCGGAGTCGGTCGGAGTCGACAGTTGTGACCGGAGTCGGAGTCGGAGTCGGTCGGAGTCGACAGTTGTGACCGGAGTCGGAGTCGGAGTCGGAGTCGATTTTAGAAACCCGAGCCGGAGTCGGAGTCGGAGTCACCGAAAATCTGTCGACTCCGCAGCCCTGCTAGGTCTGAGGAGTCGGAGTCGGGAGTTGGAGTCGGTCGGAGTCGACAATTCTGCCCGGAGTCGGAGTCGGAGTCGGAGCTGGTTTTTGAAAGCCGGAGTCGGAGTCGGAGTCGGAGTCGCCGAAAATCCATCGACTCCGCAGCCCTGCACACAACACCTCTAGTAGTACCCAGATCCGCCCTACACTCTACAAACTACCCTCACCTGAGTACAGCCAAGTTGGCGTCTGGCGATGTCTTTATACTCATACAAGTCCTCTCCAGTAATACCCAGATTTGCCCTACTCTCTAAAAACACGACTTACCTGAGTACAGCCAGGTTGGCGATGTCCTTATACTCATACAACACCTCGAGTATGATCCAGCTCCAGTAGGACCGGTAGCTGAGCTTTCCCAGATCGGAGAGGGGCTTCTCCGGGCTGCCGCACACGCCTTCCAGCTTACTGAAATTAAGGAAAAAATTGTGTTAGAATAGGGAGGTTAGATGTGGCTATAAAGAAACCCTCCGGTTTGTGAAATATCAGAAACAATTAGGCTAGAAAAGGAGGTTATATGTGAGTATGCAGACGCCCTTTAGCTTAGTGAAACGTACTACTGGTTGGGTTAGAAAAGGAGGATAGATATAGTTTCGCAGACCCCTTTAGTTTGCTAAAATATCACAAAGAAGGTTAGGCTAGAAAAGGAGATTATGTGTGAGCATGAAGACGCCTTCCAGTTTACTGATACGTCACAAAAGGTTAGCTTAGAAAATGAGGTTAGATGTGGCTTTGCTGACACCCTCCAGTTTGCTGAAATATCAGGTGGGGTTGGGAAGGGAGCAGGTTGCGGTAATAAGAACATACAATATACCGGCAATCACACCCACTCAGAGCAGCATCAAATAAGCAGAAAGGAAGCGAAACGGTGGTGTTCTCCAAATCATCTGAGGCGACAAATAAGGGCGAGGGTGTCAGAGCGAAAATTTAATGGCTTTACAGACACCCTCAAGTTTCACGTAGCAGCAAATGAGGGCAGAAGACTAAGAGCGAAATAGATCAATTTATGCAATGTTGAAGGAGGAATACAAGCCTCACAATTTGCAAGTTCTCTTGAGTTCCGTTCTTTGCCGACTTAATACCCATCAAACTGATCGCAAACCGCTTCTTCTACACTGCGCCTTTATCCAATAAAATGACTCATCCCGATAAAATAAAAAGATAATAAAACAAGTCCGAAATCGGTCACACAAAAATCCGATCCGATCCAGATTCGAACCCACAACGCCCACACCAAACAACCCACCCCACGTCCGCCGACTAACCTGAGTTCGTAGCTGAAGGCGATCAGCAGTTTTCCGTAGCCTTTTCGCTGGTACGGAGGCAGCACCAGGATACAGGCCACGTTGTTTCCTTCTAGTGACTCTTTCTCCTGTGAAAAAAAAAAACAAGATTACTTGATTGCAACGCACATGATGGCGTTGTACAGTCTCGCTTCGCTCTTGGTCTCGCTCGGCGAGGACGCCGCCGCAGCGAGCCGGGGACGAGGTAAACAACAACAAACAACAACAACAAACAACAACAAACAACAACAACAACAACAACAACAACAGGTAAACGGTGAGCGAGGCGCCGATCAACTTCGGACGATGGAAGAAACTCTGTGCTCTGTGTAGCTTGTTGCATGCATAGTAAAATATGATGATTGGCGAACCCCTCAGTGATGACTTTCGTTAGACGACTCGTTAAATGGAAATACGCTGTTTTTATCACGCTAATTATGCTCTTTATAAGTACGGATCAATTACCCGTTTACAATACATGTTATTAGCTAATATCTTCTTTCGAACCGTTCAGAGCAGATAAGAATATTCATAAAAGTGATGTTGCGCTTCCATACACGCTATTCGCAATGAATCTTTCCAGTTTCTATCATCATGTAATTAAATATTATTCCATGACGCATGCGCAGTAGGCATCGTGGGCGGAGCAAGGGGCGGAGCTTCCCACGCATGACGTCACGGTATTGTTTGTTTATTGGGGCTTTAGGGTGCACCGACTGTAAAGGTCATTTTGCACCCACGACGACTCACGGTAGAATATTCTGCCGCAGAATGGCATGACGGATCTTGGTGATGCCGATGGTTTTGCTACTCAATGTGGCGCACCAAAAAATTGAATTGTGGCGTTTCTTTCTTGCGGGGACGTTTTGGGAGGTGTAATAGCGTGAATTGACCAGTTACTTCACCAATCACCACATAATGTTTGAGAAACACATTAGTCTGTTGTTTTCTGGTGGTTTTCGTGTGAAATCGTTTTCCAGCGATGGAAGGCGTCAGGCGATCGCCGGACTGTTTCACAAAATATTCTGCCATCCGAGGTCTGCGACGTCACTCAACGTGTGATGTCGCACCTGGGGCCTTAAATAGGCCTCGTGACGCGCCAGCCGACGGCCCCAGAAGCCGCTCCTTCCGGCCGACCTGGACCGTCCGCTGATGGAGAGATTCCAGAGGGCGCTGGCCGCTCTGCTGAGGAAACGATCGGGAAGCTGGACCTGAAGCTGGTGGAGCTGGTGGGTGACCGGGGGGGGGGGGATTGGTCCGAGTTGGTGGTTTAGGTGGCGTCTTTGATATGGATTGTTTGGTTAAATGTTAAATGGCCACACTAGATTTGGGAGCGAACTCTACGTAGTTAGATGTTACCCTAGGGTGAACTAGAGAGTCGTAGATCTAGTGAGGAAAAGTGGCTGTTTTGTACTGGTAGGGTGGACTACTTTGATTTATCTGCTACTTTGATATTTTTCATCCCAAACACTGCGGTTGCATGCTATCTTCTTTATTGTATTTTATTTTACGTGTAATATTTCCATACACTGCCTATTAGACTACGTTAGAATGGATGCAAAATTACATCGCGACTTCATGATTATGCAATATGCATGATATACAAACTCAAGCAAATACAAGTTACGATGTTATGAGTCGGTACACCTGTGCTCCAAATCACCGTAATATATTCCCTCCTCGTCACTACCCCGCGTCCCTGCGGCGTATTGTGTTCATTTTTCTCTGTACCGGTCTGCCTTATTAGAACAGAAAAGCCCTGAGTTGCACCCTCGTACAACGTCACGTGAGTAAGTAAGAGCGTTACTTTTTAACCATGCTTACAATGTTAGTGTTCGAGTAAATGCCGCGACAGAGGCCCAGTACACATGTCACCAGGTATCTACACCACTGTGATGACCTCCTTAGTGTGTAGATTAGTCCGTTGGCCTGGTCTTCATCTCGGCCTTCTTCAGATAATCATATCCTCTCCACCCTAACCACCATATTCCAGCAGTGTCCGTTATACCGCCGTCCCGGTACCGTCCGTTCAGGCTGCTATGGCCACACGTCCACCCTCTGCCGACCCACCAGGCCATCTTGAATAACTCGGCACAGTGATAGTGAGACGAGTCCTGGTCACGGTCACGGGTAGAGAACTTTTCGTTGACACTGAACTGCAAGCTATCTCTGGCAGTTCCCGAGTAGTTGGAGGCGCTCAGTCTGTAGCCGTCCAGCTCAGAGGAGACGCTGAACCCCTGGTAAGCAGCGTATGATCGACTGCCGTCAAAAGCCTCAAGATCGATACGAAGTTCGTACTGTCGGTCTGATGATGTTAGCTGATATAGGTGTTCTAGGCCCCACCAGAATTCTTTGGTAACATTACCAAAGCCCTCCTTATAGTCCGTCCATCCGAGGTAGAAGTCCTGGCGGGGCTCGATGTTGTTTCTCCGTTGGAACACCGTCCAGTTTCCTCCGGCAGTGTCCATATCACAGTAGGCCTCGACGGGTGGTTGTCTGCTGTCACCACTGGGCCGAAGGAGGTAAACTCCAGATGGGGAGTCGACAGGCAGGTCACTGCAATCACTAGCAGGGACCAAATGGTGTACCTCAGCGGCTAGGTCACCAATACGGTCCTGTTGGGATGATGTGTTGTGAACAACTCCGGCCAGCTTGGTTTCTAGAAGGTCAAACTGGGAGTTCAGGATATCCATTCTGACTGAAATTTCACTCTGAGTCGTTTTTTGTTCGTCCAGCTGGGTGTTGAGCTCGCTCAGTTGTGACTGCTGGCTGTCAAGCCTCGTAGCCAATGTACGCATTTCGCTCACATGTTTTTCCATGCTGATGTCGATGACACTCAGTCGTTCTGTGAGGTCGTTCACAGTGGCTGTCGTCTCGTCCTGCTGGGATTTTTGGCCATTCAGCTGTGTGACGATCTCGTCCAGCTGAGTCTGCTGGCCGTCCAGTCGGCCGGTCAGCTTCTCCATCCGGGAGTCGAGCAGAGTCAGTCTGTCATCGATGGACTCCAACCGCGACTCCATTCTGCGCTCCAGAGCCTCCATCCTAGACTCCAGCCTGTTCTCCAGAGGTTCCGTTCCTGACTGCAGCGTGCTGACGATGGACTGTAGTTCATCACGCACCAACTGCTGTATGTACTCACTCACGGGGATGGATTTGCCATCGTCACAGTCGGCCGTCACGATGAGCACGGCTAAAGTCAGGAGCGTCGTCACCCCGCCTCTGAAGGTCGACATGGTGTCAGGACACTGGGAGAGCCAGCCTCCCGCACCGGCTGCCGACCTCGAACTGACGGCTCGGAGCTGGCAGGACGTCTGCAGAGCTCGGTGCGGCTGGCCTCTGTCAGAGGCGCCACATCCGGTGACGCGGCCCGGTCCCGTGACCGACAGACTCGGCGATAAACATTTACATTGGTCTCTGACCACTCTGATGCAAGGATCTTATGGCTCATAGTAGCCACTTCCATCAACCAGCGTTCCATTTATTTCAGAATTTTGGGTGAAAAATCGCACAATGGGGAAATATCTTCATCCCAATAATAAGATAAGTGGCATTATTTCATTTTCGAAAAAAAAAATGTTTCGTCCATTCGAACAACCAGGTGGCATATGACTTGACAGTTGATGCATCCACATTCTTTTCTTTCAGATCCGGTCAAGATCCTGACATGAAATCCCCCTTTATCAATTGGCGTTAAAAATGGCATTATATGCCCTTATGCGAAAATACTACAGGCATTTACTCCTCTTTTCTTCATCCTGACATTTTTTCCTTCTTCATCGGCACACCCAACCAAGATCCCATTTTAGAGCACTTCCATTAACTCGATGTGTACTCGAATAGTCGGCGAAGTTGTCACTCGAGGAAAAGCTCGCGGCATCTCTACATCCGCACTCTGTAAGAATTATCTCCAAAAGGGAGCACCATGTCACTCCTCACCTTAAAGAAGCATCCTCCAAATAAATTAGTACTCCCCCTGTTCCTTAGAGAAACACTCTATTAAGAAACTCCCTCCAAAAGGATGCACTTTCTCCCTGCTCACCTTAGCAGGGTACCCCACAAAGAGAAGGACCTCTCCCTTCTATTAGAGTGAAGTGTCCCACAAAGAGAAACATTGTGCCAATTCATTACCCAAGAGAAGCATTGTTAAGAAATTCCCTTTAAAAAGGCGCCACTTCCTTTCCCGTCACCTTAGAGAAGCACCCTCCAAATACAAACAGTAGGTAAACACCCTGTAGCTTAGAGAAGCACTCTGTGAGCAACTCCCTTCAAAAGCAACCACCACCTCCTTCCCTCCCTTGGAGAAGTACCCTCCAAATACAAACAGTAAGCCCTTTTTTGTGTTTTGTTGGGTTAGGCCCTTTCGGTCCAATGGTTATGGGACCATTTCAGAGCCGGGAGGATGATAGGATATAGGGGGAGCCATTGGTCTGGGCAGGCACCCTAGTGAGTCGCCGGGGCTGAGCCCGTCCAGAGGACAGGCCACCCAGCCCCAAGGCACTCACTGCACCCGGCTACGGGGTGCGCTCCCTCGGGAGCAGCGGTGCCGCTCCAAGGGAGCAGCCCGCATGAGATAAAGTTGCCTGTCCAGCCCGGAGGGGGGTTGCGGCGTGGAGGAGAAGGATTACATTATCCTGAGGATAGAAGCACGGAACGGTGAGTAAGTAAACGGTGAGTAAGTAAGTAAGCCCCTTGTACCTTATATGTACCTTATATCGACACCCTTTTTTTAAACCCCACATCTGCTCTCCCGTGAATTTCCGGGAGGCACGAAAGATCTCCTTTTAAAAGTGTCCAATCGTCCGATCCTGATCAAATATGTGTGTTCGTAGGCCTGTTCTGGTATTGCTTTATCTGCCAAGACAGACAAACTTGAGAAAAATCGAGTGATTGTACCTTTTTTGAAGGTCTCTAACCAACTCGTCTGAAATTCACCGGAAAACAAATGTGGGGTTTAAAAAAAGGTGTCGATATATGTGTGAGAAACTCCCTCCAAAAAGGCACCACCATCTCCGTCCTCACGTCCTTGGCGAAACATCCTACAAAAAGAATCAGTACTCCCCCTGTACCTACCTTAGAGGAGCATTTTGATAAGAAACTCCCTTCAAAAAGGCACCACATCTCTCTCCTCACCTTAGAGAAATGCCCTCCAAATAGAATCAGTACTCGCCCTGTTCCTTAAAGTGACCATCCCACCTTAACATTAGTTTTGAGTTGAGATAGCCAAATTGGTGGCCATGGCCTGAAAATACCGGTTGGGGCACTTACAACATCGAAAAATGCTTTAATTCGGAGAGATCGAATTTCAAACTTGCAGTTTTCGGATTCTAAGGGGCTAATGCATTGGTATGCCCCCTTAGAATTTGTGACGTCAGCGGAGATCTAACGATTTTTAAATCTTTTACTAAAACGTTTGGTAGCACGCGGTGGTATATGCTGCTTTGCACGCAACAAATGCCGCACTTTCAAATTAAGTCGCTAGGAACAGCGGAGATCCCAAAAAGTAAACAAAAGTAAAAGTCTAATATCTTGAAAACCGGTGAATATTTTTCGATGAAATTTGGTAGATATTGGTTTTCGCTCTTTCTGAACCGAGCGACATCACTTTCATGCCAATTCATTAACTTTTTTGAAGGTGGGAGGGTCCCTTTAAAGGAGCACTCTGTGAGAAACTCCCTTCAAAAAGGCACCACCATCTCCGTCCCCCTCACCTTGGAGAAGTAGCCCACTACGTGGGCTCCCTGTTTGTCCACTTCACAGAGAATGTAGAACAGAAACGGTTCCACGTCAAAATACAACGTCTTATGGTCCAGGAAGAGCTTGGCGAGCAGGCAGAGATTCTGACCTGCAGAGGAGAGAGAGACAGGGGTTCAGTCCAGTTCACGTGTTCACATTAAATCCGCTGGTAGGCCGCTTTTTATGTATCAATGCAATGTCGAACAATACGAACAGGCTAAAACGTACACTATTCATTATATCGTACATTCGTCATCACGTCAAATCGTCAAATCGGGGAGTCATGTCATGTCACGTGTGTGCTAGATACATGTGTGACGATAAATTTCATTAACTGCTGATGAAGATGACAGCACTCGGAGTGTAATCGCCACGCCGATTGTGGATTGCTCTTGATCGTCAATACATACATACATACATACATACATACATACATACATACATACATACATGCACAGGCAAATACAAGTGGGCGATTGCATAATATAGACGTAGTTTTGGTAAAATATCAGGTAAAATATCAAATATCATTAATAATGCGATTGGAATTATTCCACTGTACTCAGACAGGTGACGGAGAACACAAAAAAATACTACCTCTAAGTCTACACATATTTACCCACGATCTATATTGTCTAGTAATATACATTTTTGACAGGCCTAGAAGTTTGGTCTAACAATACCCTGCGTGAGAAAGTAAACTTTAAGCCACTACTTACACCTGAGGTCGTGTTACATGATGAGTCGTATATGCCCTGAAAGCCTCTGGCAGATGTAAACCAGCAAACTTTGTGAGTTAAGACCGTGTAGCATATCTTACCGTAGACCTTGTGATCGGCCCCATCCACTTCATACACTGACAGCGTCCCTTTTCGGTAGATCTCGCGACCGGGCGGTTGACGCCAGCCGCAGTCTCCCTGGTGGGGGAGACAGTTGAGGTCACGGGCAGGTCACGGTCACGGGCAGGTCAGGTCACGGGCAGGTTGGGGGAGGGAGGGGAGAACAGAATCAGGCCGGGCTAGGTCGGATCAGGTTAAGTCAAGTCAGATCAGGCAAATGAAGCTTAGGAAGGGTCAGCGAAGACCGGAGGGCTGTTCACGGGCACCGCACACTGCTGCGTGCGGTGTGTGCGGTGCGTCCAGCAGGTGTGGGGGTAGGGGATGGGTAGGCGGCTCTGACGTCACGGCTGCGTGCGGTGGACGGTCCGCTGTGGCTAGTCCCGACCGGCCACAGCGGTCGCTGTGTGCGGTGACGGAAGGCTGACGTAGGGACGAAGTGGGCGGAGCTTGGAGCCTGTGTACGGTCGGACCGCACACAGGGCCTGCGAACAGCCCTCGGGTAGCAGGATTTCGCCAACAAAGATCAGGATCCCAATAGACACCTCTTTCCTATTACTTTCTATCCTATCTGCCTTCTGCTATCACCCTAGACTACATTTTCCCTTCACTCTCCTAATCAAAAACCCTCTCTTCTCTCAAAACCTCCCTCTCTCCTTTTCCTATTTTTCTCACTATATCTCCTGAAGTCGGACTGCATTTTCCCTTCACTCTCCTAATCAAAATACCTCTCTTCTCTCAAAACCTCCCTCTCTTTTTTCCTATTTTTCTCACTATATCTCCTGAAATCACTCCCTCCGTCCATTTCTTTTTTCTTGTCTCGTTGCTAATTACATCCCTTACCTCCCTCCCCACTACCTCCGTCCCTCTCTCTCCCTCCCTTCTTCCCTCCCCACTAACCAGATGATGCCGATAGGTCGTCTCCAGTTTCATATACTTGAGACAGTACTCGCAGATGTACAATTTGGGCTGTTTCATGTACTCATCAGGATACGGTGAAAAGTACCACGTGTCGATCTCATACCGGCCGATCTGTGGGACAGGAGGTGATAAGAGTTAGCACGGCACGTGGTAAAACGACACGTGAATACGGTGAGAAGTACCACGTGTCTATACTCTGTTCCGTTTCAAGTTTGCAGCCGAAGTGCCCTGCTGGAAGGCAGTGCGTGATTTCTGTATATACAGCTCATGCATTTTAAGACGCAAATTCGAGCGGAGGAGCGATCTGCCGAAGAAACTCCGACTGCAAGCTTGATATGGAACAGACTATAGCTATCCTCATACCGGCCGATCTGTGAGACAGAAGGTAACATGAGTTAGAGCGTCACGTGGTAAAACAACACGTGACGACGCAACATGGTGACGTCATGATTCAGCGCGGTGATTTTACTGGGGATACGAATGCAAGAAGATAGCTACATTCCTGGGTCATGGGTTGCAGTTCCAAGGTCCGGGTTAATCACAAGTTTTGATTTCAAGAAAGATGGTTTTGTGCAATACGTTTCACAAACACAGTAAATTCACAAGAGGCACAAGAAAACAACACATTATAGTCAGCGTAAGTTAGATACGTTTCATTAGAGAGGAAAAACAGTGTGCCCATATTGTACTTACTCCAAATTACCCTACTCCCTTTTCTATCCTACCTCTTACTCCCTTGGTAGATCCTCTACTTATTTCGTCTCCCTAACTCCCATGGCTCGCAGCAACCATCGGACTCTGAAACCACCCTTTCGACGCATTTATCCTCGGAGTTTGCATCTTTTTTCATTCTCCCGCCCCATCCCCGACACCTTGACCCCCATCCCCATCCCCTCATATTTAACTCACCTGAACCCTATCTATGTATTTAACCTTCGTGATCGTCTCATGTTCTTTCTCTAATGCGGCCGTCGTCGGATCCATTTCATCGTAGCTCTTCTGTACGTGATTGATCTCATCGTGTTTCCGTTTTTGGTTTCTGGTGATCTTTCGGTCAGAGTCTAGGAGAGGGTCGGAACTGGAAGAGCGATCTTTACCGGAGTTGGGATCGCTTTCTTGACGTCTGCGGAGAGAGGGTGCAGGGGGTTAGAGCTGGACGGGGAGAGAGAGAGAGAGAGAGAGAGAGAGAGAGAGGGGGGGGAGAGAGGAGAGAAAGAGAGAGAGAGAGAAAGAGAGCGAGAGAGAGAGGAAGGGAGGGAAGGAGGGAGAGAAAGAAAGAGAGAGCGAGAGCGAGAGAGGAGAGAGGAGAGAGGAGAGAGGAGAGAGGAGAGAGGAGAGAGAGGGAGAGAAAGAGAGAGAGAGAGTGAGAGAGAAAGAGAGAGAGGGGGAGAGAGGGGAGAGAGAGGGAGGGAGGCAAAGAGAGAGGAGAGAGAGAGAGGCAGAAGCAGCGTTAGTACGGGGACCCGCAGTTGCTTCTGTACACGAACCCCAACTCTAGCCGGCTGTCCTGTCCAGTAACAACTGATAACATTGATATCGACTGCTGGTCCCTGTATAACAGTAACTGAGGTTTTCTGTGCGTGCCCCCTGACAGCTTATCGTTGTTCCCTGTGAGGGCGCTGGGACAATTTACTCAGGGTCGCTGTACAGTAGCAACTACAGGTCCCCGTACCAGAGATTGACTGGAACTTGAGCATGTACAAACAGCCTTTATCACAGTTTCACTCTCTTTTCTGATATCTTCAGGAGAGTGCATACCTCAAATTGAGGAAATGAGGATTAAGGAGGACAAGACAAGAGTGGGATAAGAGCAATAAGAAGAATGGTCCCTCTCAAAACAGCTATACATACAGCCTCAGTATGAGGACGAAAGAGAGAGAGAGAGAGAAAGAGAGAGAGCAACAAAAAATCAATTTGAGGTTACCTCTCCCTTTCGATACCATATGTGTAAACTGGGTAACGGATAAAATGAATAGGTAACTTCTTACACAATGGTATCTGAATGAGTGGCAACTATATCAATGCATACCTACCCACTGTCTCACCTTAATCGTCCAATGGGCACCCACTCGTCCAGTCTCCGATTATGTCCGTCATAGTGGACGTAGTACTCTGTGTGTGCTCCCGAGGGTCTCTGTTGTAGTACCACCGCACTGTGCCATTGGCGGTCGGGACGCTGGACTAGGTAGCTGCCTCCGACTGCGACCTCTGAGGGCTCCATCTGGGGAGGAAGGTAGAGGGGAAATGTTAGACCAGTAGCTGCCTCCGACTGCGACCTCTGAGGGCTCCATCTGGGGAAGGTAGAGGGGAAAGGTTAGACCAGTAGCTGCCTCCGACTGCGACCTCTGAGGGCTCCATCTGGGGAAGGTAGAGGGGAAATGTTAGACCAGTAGCTGCCTCCGACTGCGACCTCTGAGGGCTCCATCTGGGGAAGGTAGAGGGGAAATGTTAGACCAGTAGCTGCCTCCGACTGCGACCTCTGAGGGCTCCATCTGGGGAGGAAGGTAGAGGGGAAATGTTAGACCAGTAGCTGCCTCCGACTGCGACCTCTGAGGGCTCCATCTGGGGAAGGAAGGTAGAGGGTTGCTGTTAGATCGACCAGGTAGCTGCTGTCTCGGTTTCACTTGTGAAAACTCAATGTGAACAGACTATAGACGCGCGGAATAAGATAACACTGCCTCGGCTAGTCCTATGGTGACCTCGGAGTGCTCCATCTGGGGAGGAAGGTAGAGGGATAATTTTAGACCAGTAGCTGCCTCCGACTGTCACTTCTGAGGGCTCCATCTGTTGGCGAGGGGGTACCTAGGGGGATAATGTTAGTCCGCGTTGGCCCGCGTTGGCGCTCAATCTAGTCCGCGTTGGTCCGCGTTGGTGCTCAATCTAGTCCGCGTTGGTACGCGTTGGTGCTCACTGCTCAATCTAGTCCGCGTTGGTGCTCAGGATCTGTATCGGGTATAAGGCATTGAGAGGTGGTGGTGTGAACGGAGGACTGTCCGTGTGGGGCTCAGCGGACAATTGCATTTGGTTCATGTCAATATATGTCATGCTGGCGACGAATGGGTGTAACGTTGGTTTTCCGAAAGTAATGTTAGACCAGGTAGCTGCCTCTCTACTGTAACCTCTGAAGACTCTATCTGGGAAGGTAGAAGGTTGCTATTAGACCAGATAGCTGCCCCCTACAGTCACCTCAGAGGGCTCCATCTGAAGAAGGTAGAGTAAGCTGTTAGACCAGGTAGATGCCTCCGACTGTGACCTCCGAGGGCTCCATCTGGGGAAGGTAGAGGGGAAATGTTAGACAAGGTAGCTGGCGCCTATGGTGACTTCTGAGTTCTGAGGGCTCCATCTGGGGAAGAAGGTAGGAGGATAATGTTAGACCAGTAGCTGCCGCCTTCTGTGACCTCCGAGGGCTCCATCCGTTGGGAAGAAAGGTAGAAGGGTGGCTGTTAGACCAGGTATGTTGCCTCCTATGGTCACTTCTGAGGGTTCCATCTGGGGAAAGCACGGGGGTTGCTGTTACTGATGTCGACTTGATGAGGGCTATTGTCACTTCCAAAGGCTCCACTCCATCTTGGGAGGGTGTACAGAAGTCGCTGTTAGACCAGGTAACTGCTGTCAATGGTAGATTCTGAAACTTCCAAACTGGACTCCATCTGGTGCATAGAGGGGTATTTCTTGAAGCAACAAAGAAAAACTACAAGAAGCTACAGTAGAATAAAATAGCAATAACAATGATGCTGGAGTTCTTGGTACAGATGTCAAAATGAGTAAAAGGGAAACTATCATCGCTTTTGAAGACTCCATCTGAGGACGTTGGATTATATTTTGCTAGCATTTTGCTGAACAATAATGAGTACTTACATGATGATTGGGTACCATAATTTTTTTTTTTTTTTTTTGATAAATTGAGCTCAAATGTTTGAATGGGCTGATTGACAGAGCCGGAGCCCATGCTAAGCATAGCTCGTTGTTTAGGCTCCGACCGAAAGCCGTCCGATCGGAAAATTTCCAGAAAAGTTTAGGTGCCAAAATGCACCATATGACCGTCGAACCCAGGCACAGCTCGTCCAACCCAACTGACTTGTCCTGGCTGTGGCTGCTCCCACTTTTGGCAGACCATCTGTTACAGATGTCAAACTTTTGACAGACCATCTGTCAAAAGTCTCAAATTGGAGCGCCTGGGCGACTCGAAACCGCACTCTAAGTAGCAGGAGTCCAGACTGCAAAACGTGGCACAGGCACGCCCAGCCCAAGGGGTGCCCAGGTTAATGGGAGTGCACGCCTGGCACGCAGGAGTGCACGCCTGTGTCCGTAACTTGCACACCTGGCAAGTAGCGTTTCAAGTTCAAGCTTACATACCCCACACAAACACGATATTGAGCATCGCAGCAAGACCCGTAGCTCAGTTGGTAGAGCGTTGGACTCCGCGTGGTGAGAGCACGCGTTCCCGGTTATAACAGTCCGGGTTCGAAGCGCGACGGGCGCTTGACATTTATGGGCCTCCTGACAGGTATGGTTGCGGTTGGTGGCAGGCCGTAGCCAGGCGAAGTCAGTGAGGGGACAGGCCGTGCGTGGCTATGTGCGCACGTTAAACTTTGGGACTCTAAATTCTGCCATAGAACTGGAATTGCGCGATCGGAGGGTAGAGGGCGGGGTCACCGCAACAAGCTTCGCTTAGCAGTGGCTCCAGGCTCTGTCCTTGTGAATCCTTCCTATCGAAAGGTTCGGACTAAATTTATTAAAAATAAAAATAAAAGACTTGCCAGGTGTCAGGTGACACTGAAAGGGTCTCAGCGAGCGACACATTTAAATTTAGTTGGTCAGTGATTTGGTTCATAGATAACATTACCTTAACCTGACACAGTGTATGCCATCTTATCACGAGCAATGCACTCATTTTTTCATGAGGCTCTATCTTGATCAAGGGTAGAAAGGTTGAGGAGGGTCATGCTCACTTCTACCGGCTCCATTTAGGGAAAATGGAAGAGGTACGAGTTATGACTGCCTGGATTACAGGACTGCACATTCAGAGTCATTTGGTGTTGAGTGTTGACACTTTACAGCCTGCCAAGAATCAGTTGATAGTTAAAGCCAAAATGGGAGTCTGAGTTGGACAGTTGGAGTCAGGGCTGCGGAGTCAGAGTCGGAGTTGACAGTTGTGACCGGAGTCAGAGTCAGAGTCAATTTTAGAAACCTGAGCCGGAGTCGGAGTCGAAGTCACCGAAAATCTGTCGACTCTGCAGCCCTGCTAGGTCTGCGGAGTCGGTGTTGGGAGTTGGAGTCGGTCAGAGTCGAAAATTCTACCTGGAGTCGGAGCTGGTTTTTGAAAGCCGGAGTCAGTCAAAGTAGGAGTCACCGAAAATCCATCGACTCCGCAGCCCTGGTTGGAGTAACCAAACTTATCAACTCTGCAGACCTACCAGGCTGTGAAATCAGGGTCAGACTCAGTCAGTGAGTCGACAATCCTGCAGAGGGTCAGAGTCGGGAGTCAGTCGATCTAGGGAAGAAGATAGTCACCAAAAATATGTCAGCTATGCAGTCTCGGCCTGGAAAACATAAGAAAATACATTCAAAATGCAACAGATACTGACGAACATGTCAGCATACATTATCTATTATAACTGCCTACAACTTGGCGCAATTTTCATCAGCTAATTTTTATTCATTCAAAGCAAATATCTCGTCTGTTGTAAGTTATCGCAAATCTCATGCAAAAATTAATGTAGAACTTACACGATATTGTTCCTTTGGTTCTATTTTGCTCCTTTCTTTGCTTAATCACCCCAGAGCCGCCACATGCATTATAAATAAATGCTTCTCATCTTGCTTCTCAATTTTAGAGAGTTCAGTGATGCTTCTTTACCATTTTTGCCTGTCAAATACCATGCGAGGTGAATACTCGTGACGTCATTCCATGTCTACGAATTCCTTAACGCTTTTGATACCTTTCCCGAACAAAGCTGTGTTTCTCGAGATGTTTTAGTGATTTTTGTTGTATAAATTGATAATAAAATCATATTGAAACATTTTTACCCATCAAATATTATCAAGAATAAAGCAATTAGGCAAAATTATTTTAAATTTATGACGCAATCAAAAATAAAAGTTCATAGGCTTTTTTAGCGCATTTTATTGTGTTCGGGAAAGATACTATCGTGTTGTTTACGCGGTTCGTAAGCAGAATCAGCAGGATATCTACGAATTAATTTACCATTCGTAGCGATTTCGTCCTCCATCGACTAGTGAAACGCTTCATATTGAACAGTGCTTGATTGAATTCTTGGAATGATTCGCCATTTGTATGAAGTTGGTATGAGGTGTTCCTATTGCTATGCTGTGGTTGTGTGGTGGCTGCTGTAAGTATTATAGGTAGGTAATGCAAGGCTGTATAAGAGGAATGAGGCTGATATCATTTGTATCAATATCTATTTATTTCTACCCTAAATAAGATGCTGATTCCCAGTTGCAGTGTATAAACTGTGTAGCTAAGACCTTCATATTCTATTAGGCAATGTCAATGTAAAAAATAAATTTTTATTAATCTGCTTGTTAATCGTAAAATAAAAGGCCATACCTATCTACATACAGCTGCGCCCCTCAATATTTGACTTATTACTCGTCCAACTGACATGCGGCGCCTTGCTGACAGAAGCCGGTGAATCGTTCCACAATGTGCGTGGGCCCGTTCCGAAGAGTGTGCCACTGGGGCCCTCTGACTGCTCTGGGTGAGTAATGTTTGGCACAGCAGCAGATGGTGAAGCAGAGTTATATGAGTTTAGTCATATAGCATTTGTCAGATGAGCGAAGGCCCAGTAATGTGTGCTTTACTAGGCTAAATGGGTTTTTGGAGTAATTTTTGTGTGGACAATTCCAGTCAGCAATTTGGTCTGCCTCAAGTCCGTTTTACCCCAGCAACTCAGACATGCCAGACTTGGGCTGGTGTAAATGAAATGCTATTGGCACAGAGGTTTGGGTTGATATGGCTCTATTCTGGTTAGCCAGTCCTTGCCGTGGCGCTCCGGAGTTGTTATGGTTTCGGATCGCCAAGATCGGCTCCCTGCCACAGAGTGCTACGGCCAGGTCTGGCTGCCTCGTTAACCGCTCTGGCTTACCGTGGCTGAAGCACGGTTGAGGTACGGCATGACTAAATGCTGATACAGACTCACTCATACAGCATTCAGCCGTGCCGTATGTGAATGGAAAGTGTCAGAAATGAGGCCTCTTTCTGGTCCCGACGTTTCATTCTCCGATTGGGCTAGCCCCGTCCAGGGTTTAGCTTTTCGGGACCCACTGAGGGTCGCGATCGTTTTCGCCGCGATCGCCCCAATCGAGATGCAAAGTCAACAGTCACACAAAGCTCATTTAGGGCCAGCCAAACCAGCCTAGTCCGGATTTCCTGTTAAATGTATGCATATAGACGAAAGAAAAAAATGTTTTGTAGATTCGATTAATTTCGAAGTGGTAACTAAATTCAGAGGCCCCAAATAAACTTCGTGTGACTATCAACTTTGTATCTCGAATGGGCCGGACGGCGAAAACAACCGCGGCTCCAAGCGGGTCCCGAAAGGCGAAGCGCTAGACAGGGTTTACCCACCCGGAGAATAAAATGCCGGGACTAGAAAAAGGCCTCATTTCCAGCCCTGCAGTGAGTGATACATGTCGGCTGATACATGATACATGAGTGAGTACATGATACATGCTACAAGTGATACATGAGTGATAAAATGCCGGCTGTGGTGCGGGCGAGGTGCGGGATCGTGTGTCAGCTCCAGTTCAGCTCCAGACCTTGCCCGTAGTTTGGCTGGAGTAAAATGCCGGAGCTAGCCAGAGCAAAACCAGATACTGCCCAGACCAATATTGTTTGGACAAGATTTGCCGACCAAACTGATGAGGTCGTTAATGCTGATAGGACGAGATGCAAATGAAAAAGCTTTGGTCAAAAATTGCATAAAACACAACTACAGCGGCCAAAAAATGTGCGGCAATAACAATTTTCTCCACCCACCCCTAACACATGATCTTTTTTTTTTAGGCATCATCCAGTCCATCACCTTGATGTCAATCCACTGTTTCTACCTGCTGTGGCCGGCCGAATCTAATTGGCTACCTGGGAGGATCCAATTTTGGATATTCTGTGGGTTCAGCTGTGCGACGCTGTATGCGTTCCTGAATGCACTGCTCGTTGGACCGGGATTTGTACCGAAAGAATGGAGACCGGTAAGAGAAAGTGGAAGGAGGAGAGAAGGGGAGGGAAAGGGAGGAAGGGGTAGTGGATGGGAGGAGAGATAATGGAGGAAAGGATGGGAGGGAGGAGGGGATAGGGAAGAGTTAGGATAGAGCAGGAAGAAAGGGAAGGATATTGTAGGAGAGGAGCTAGGACAGATAGATCGGAAGGAAAAGATGGAGCAAGAGGGGAGGGCAGAGGAGGATATCGTGGGAAATAACTAGTAGAGGGGGATGGGTCAGGGAGATAGGACGTGGGAGACGAGAATAAGCGAGAGGAAGAGGGAATGGGAATAAGGCATCATGAAGAGGAATGATGGAATAGAGCCCATCACCCATGACGCTTATCTCCATCTCATGTGTCATTGTGATATGTCTCCACAGGAGGACAAATCTGCCGAGTCGCTGCTACAGTTCTGCTCCTTCTGCCAGGGATACAAGGCTCCGCGCGCTCACCACTGCAGGAAATGTAAGTAGTCAGTCATCAGTCATTATCTAATTTATCAGTCTTCAGTCGATAGAAACCAGTTTTTTTTTTTTTGGTCCCGCGGAGGTCGTATTCGCGTTGGTATTTTATTAGATTTGTCGTACGATCAATTGTCATCATGTGATGATTTTATTTCACGTTGAGACAGTCTTCAGTCAACATTTGCAGTTATGATGTTCCTATCAGTCTTCAGGTAAAAGTACATAATCACATGACAATTTTGTACAAATTGTATAAATTTTGGTACAATCGCCCCATCATCAGTGTCCTCAAGCAGCTGTTCCATTATTTACAATCGCTACACTCCCTTTTTCGTCAGGAAACTCAATCACCATGTTATTTTGTATTGTCCTCCTCCTTTTCCTCTCAGATAACGGCTGTGTTACAATCACCCCCCCCCCCCCCGTCTCGTAGCTGTTAATTCATTTGTAATCGCCCCGCCCCATTTCTCCTTAGGTAACCATTGTGTCGTTTACAATCGCCCCGCCTCCTTATCCCCAGGTAAAGGCCGTATTATAATTACCCGTTTCCTTTTTTCTCCTCCGGCAACCATTCCATCATTTACAATCGCCCCTCCCCTTTTTCTTCTCTGGCAACCGCTGTATTGTAATCGCCTCTTGCCCCTTGTCTCTTTTTCTCCTCAGGCAACCATTACTTCATTTACAATCGTCCCGCCCCTTTCTCCTCAGGCAATCATTCCATCATTTACAATCGCCCCTCCCCTTTTTCTTCTCAGGTAACCGCTGTGTTATAATCGCCCCTTGCCCCTTGTCTCTTTTTCTCCTCAGGCAACCATTACTTTATTTACAATCGCCCCGCCCCTTTCTCCAGACAATCATTCCATCATTTACAGTCACCCCGCCTCCTTATCCCCAAGTAAACGCTGTATTACATTCGCCCCTTGCCCCATTTCTCGTTTTCTCCCCAGGTAACCGCTGCGTGATGAAAATGGACCACCACTGTCCGTGGATTAACACCTGTGTGGGCCACAGAAATCACGGCTATTTCGCCTACTTTCTGCTGTTTGCTGTCCTCGGATCGCTGCAGGGAGGAATGACCATGTCACTGGCGGTGTATAGAGTGTTCACGGCGGTAAGTGAACCGGGGTTTGCGGATGGTTGATAGCGTTGGTTATTTACGGTAAGATTCATGGGTGCTCACTCCTCATTGAGTCAAGCTGTTGACGGTTGAAACTTTAAACACTGTGAGGGTAATTAGTGGGTGGCATTTCTGTAAGGGGGTTCGCCGTTCGGTGCTCAAGTAGTTGAAGCCGACTTCTCTAACCGGTTGTTCAAAGTGGTTGGTGAATGGACGTTCATATGCAGCGCTCACCGAGAGAGGGGGGGGGGGTCACAATCGGGTGGATTTATCGTCCGTTTCATATTTTAACGTTGTATAATTTCACAGCGTGTAGTGTATTTTCGCATCCACTGCAGTAGAAAACCCTACATCGTGGTGTATTCTCATTACACCATTCTACCACCATAGTAGAATCCCCTACAGCCGTGGTGTATTTTCCCTCTCCACAGCTCTACTACCGCGTATCGCTACTAGCGCCACCTATAACGATGAACGTCTACGCCCTGATGGGCTGCCTGTTCTGCATTGGTCTCTCCATCGGAGTGGTGCTGGCGGTGGGGATGCTCTTCGTTTATCAGGTATGTGTGGTTATCGTTGGATGGTAGGTCATCGCAATACTAAGACGCGTGTTGAAGTATATTGGTGGCTTCATGGTTGTGTGTAATGTGAAATGTCATTATCATATTGCCGGTCTCTGACGTAGTGTAAAACTGTGACGATACTAATTAGGCCTAATTACCCATACTATATTCTGCTGTATCTGTCATACATATGATCATTCGTAATGTTTGAACCTATCTCAAACTAGCTCATCCATGATGTTTGAACTAGATGCCGGCAGCGCTCGTGCGTTGCCTTGGGCCAGAATTGGAGGATCCATAGCCCAATTAAATGTGCATTATTTTGGAGGCCTTGCCTGGGACTACCATTGAACCGATTTTGAGGTTGATAGATTAAAATTTCTTTGAGCCAGAGGACCTCACGTCAAAACGGTTTTCCGACCCCAGCACGTGCAGCCTGCACCCCTCGCAGACGGTGACCCCCCTGGAAACTGGTTCAAGGTGTTACCGATGTGTCCCGCCAGTATGGCTTTGCCCGTGACCTCTGGTTGACCTGTAGCCTTGACAAAAAATTTCGTGTCACCGAAACTTTGAAGCGGAATAGCATGTGCCACGAAGCACCGAGCGAACCGAGGCCAGCACCAAAAGTTTACCTCGCCGGAGACGAATCAAACGGTCCCACTTTCGTCCCGATCGGTCCACCCATTTTGACTCCAGGTCCAAAAAAGCTAGGACAAACTCACTCACATACTCACTCACTGACAAACAGGTTCAGCCGAACTTTTTTTCAGCGACCCACCAATGGGAATTTCCGGATGCAAAAGCATGCTATCGCATGCTTTTGATCCTCCAATTCTGGATGATCGTTCTTAGGTATTTTGTAAATTTGACCGAAGTACGTTATGTCGTTACGAAGAAAGACCGAAGTACATTGTCATTAAGCACGTTAGGTTAAGATAGCATATCCTGTATCTGTCTTCTATCTATCTTGTATCTGTCCACAGGCTCTGACCATTCTCCGTAACCGTACAACACTAAGCTGGCGTATCGTGTATCTGTATTGTATCTATCTATCTCGTATCTGTCTTTTATCTATCTATTACCTGTCTTGTATCTATTCATCTTGTATCTGCCCTCAGGCGCTGGTCATCTTCCGCAATCGAACAATATTCAGATAATGTATCTTGCATCTATCTTATATCTCTCCACAGGCTCTGGCCATCCTCTGCAATCAAACAATATTCAGATACTGTATCTTGCATCTATCCTGTATCTGTCCACAGGCTCTGTCTATCCTCCGTAACCGTACCGGAGTGGAAGACTGGATTCTGGAGAAGGCCGTACACAGAAGGAGGGTAGCCTTCCAGAGACGGTGGACAGAACTCATGGATCGAGCTGATCAGGTGACGAGGGGGCCCTGTTTCGCGGCCTCCGGAAACACACTGCTAGCGTATTTCGCGAGCTGACGTCAGCACTGGGGCAATTTTGCCAAAAAAAATGTTTTTTTTTGCATTTTTTGCAATTTTGCCGCAATATTGAGTGACGTCATTAGTGAAGTGGTTAAAGTTCACGTCCAAACGTCTCGAATAGCGTCGAATTTTGCTTCTCAACTGACGACCGATGACGACACTGAGTCACTGATTATCGCGCAATCATGCGCCAAAATTGCCCTAGTGCTGACTTCAACTCGCGAAATACCGCGCTAGAAGTGTGCTAGCGGCGGCCGTGAAACACCGCCGGGGTGTTATACATAGGTGTAAACTTGTGCCGAGCTGGGGGTGCCCGAGCTCTCCCAATTCCACACCGGCTTTGGAGCCACAACAGACGGCGGAGGTCAATGGCACGGCTTGGGCGGCGGCGGATTTGTATGCGACCGAACACCCATAATTCGGCACATTTTTTTACTTATGGTGTTAACAATAGAGGGGAAGAGGGGGGGGGTAGAAATATAGTAAACATGGGCTGGGTAATGAAAAAGTATTAGAAGATGGGATATGTTGTGACGAAAATAGCCGCGTTTACATCAGGTTCGTTGCGAGGCTCAATCTTGGCCTGAACTGATGCAAACATGCCAATGGCGCTTTACATATCCAAAACGACTATTCAGTGCTAGGAACTGCATTGCATCGACATCATGACAGAATATAATGAGCTAGAGAATCCAAAAACACTGCACATGTAACCAGCCATAATGTTTGGAAATGTGTCTCATATCAGTGTCTTTTGCTTTTCTCCAATGTTGTTTCTTGCTCTCGCGTGGAAGAACATCTGTGAGTAGGTTGCTCCATTGCTAACTAACTTCGTCCTCCCCCCAGGGTGAGGACATTTCCGAAGAGGAAGCCTCCCTCCGCCCAGAGTTCTTTTTCAACCCGTACGACCTCGGACGGATGAGGAACTGGAGCTTGGTCATGTCGCCGCTAGGGGCGCCACTGGGCGACGGGATAGTGTGGCCCGTGAGAGCCGGGTGCCATCAGTACACACTGACGGTAAGAGATGCGACGGTTTCGTGGGTGTTTTTAGATATGGGGTTGTTGCATGAATGGTCCTGTCATGGCAAGGGTGCGTAAATTACGATCTCATTGCAAATGTTCTAATGTAGTACGTCCATGAGAGCTTTCCCACAACAAATCGTTCGGGTCGGGTCTTTCGAATTGTCTTTGCAAAACTTCGTCAGCGAGTCTTAATCGGGCTCGGGGATATCGGTCGCAAATTTGAAGGCGGTTCTATTGTTCTGATGTTGTAAGGTTCTAATGTGTGATTAGTGCTCAGCTTATCATGCTAATATTTCATGTTCGTTCGCTTAACGTCTTATTGATATGTGTTTTGGCCCGCAGTTGTTTTTCATCTGACATAGAATGATGCATTTATTATTTGTGATTCCGTGATACAATTTTTACTTGTGTCACCGTAGCAATTGTATCTTGTTCGTTACTGGCGTTTGTATAACTATTGTGTTGTGTGTTTGTGGAAATGACCTTAGTAGTCGGCGCGCCCTAAAGCCTCAATTAATGAACAAACAAGGGCGTGGCCCCGCACTATGCAGTATTACTGTAACGTGGCTAATCAATCATGCTTATGAGGTGTGAGTCTGTAGTGTCTGTTACACTACAGTGTGTTTGCTGTTTGCCCACGTTTGCAGTTTACGTCACCAATACCATCGTAATGTGTCTTATATTTGTTCATTCATTCCTTCCCAGGTGGAGCAGCTTGAACAGAAGGCAGAGAAGCGCTCCCGGATGAGGGAGTACCTCATCATTGAGGACTTCTCCGGCTCGTGGGTGCCCATCTCCAAAGGTGAGCCATGGAGTGACCTCTGACCTGTACTCATGACCTGACCTGGTTCGCGCGGACGTCTGGTTATGACCTGACCATGGTGTATTTTCCGATTTGGTGTGTGCTCGCAGGTTACATCACATCGTGTTTCTTTGCGTGTTTTTTGACCGAATGGATGAATGGATGGCTTTGGGCCTGGTTGATCTTAGCATACTGCAGCTAGATAGCGAAACGGTCCTCCCGGGGTCTACACCTTTTTAGGCGCAAATTAATCTAACTGAAGACCAAATTAAAACAAGTGAAATCCAATTTAAGACAAGTGAAACCCATATTAAAACAGTTGAGATCCAAATTAATCTTTGTGAAATGCATTTTAAAACAATTGAAATGCAATTTTAAACAGTTGATGAGTTTAACATTATTGGATGTGTTGAACATTTACCTATGTGGCGATTGTTGAAGCTATGATGCCTATGCAGGTGGGTGCACTGATGTGCCTAACGGAGGTTTACTAAAACAAGGTGCATGGTTTTGCACAGTTAAATTGCACGTGAAAAAACTAATTTTACTGACATTTTTCTGAGCTGAAGACGACGGCTCCTTTGAGTCCTGCTTATTTCACTCACTTGAAGTAGATTGGTGTGAAAAGTTGGCTTTATAGTCTATGTAATATTTATTTCTTCTGTAAATACCAATAACTTCTGTACCATACAATTGCATTGCATCATGGAGGGTGACTTTCAGGTCTTAGAAGACACGGATCAGGAAGTTGACCAACCAGCGCCGGCAAACATGCCGAATCGACGTGGAGTCAAACCAGGAACCCAGCGTGGGCACTACGTCCGAGTCCCACGTGATGCTCGGAAGCGGATTATAGACTGCTTCAAAGCTGGCGGCGACTGGAAGCAGGCCGCCACTGCCAATGGAGTTGCCGTGAAGACTGCCTACGGCTACATTCGGCGAGGCGAGGGTGACGGTGACGGGCCACCAAGGAAGCGAGGTGGCGCAACGGTTTGCAAGGTGGACGCGGCAATGATTGACACTTTAGTCAAGTGGGCTATGTGGAAGCTAGCCCTCAGCTCACTCTGAAGGAGATCGCGAACAAACTGCGCGAGGAGACTGGTGTGCAGCTGTCCACTAACACTGTTCACAAGCACCTGAGTGGTCGCATGTACACGGTTAAGAAGGTCCTGCCCGAGCCGGTAACAATGAACAGTGCGACAAATAAAGACAGAAGAGCCACCTTTGTGCGAAAGGTAATGGAAGCCACTGGTGCTGGCAAGACGATCCTGTACATGGACGAAACAAATGTAAATTTGTTTCTCCGACGTTCAGAGGGACGGTCCCGCCGCGGCCAACGGTGCTGCGTGAAGGTCGCCACAGGTAAGGGCGACAACATCCATGTCATCGGCGCCATAAGCCAAACGGGCATGGTGTACTGGGAGCGGCGGCGCGGATCGTTCCGCAAAGAGGACTGCTGCGAATGGCTCCGGCGAGCTCTTCGACACTGTCCAGAGCCGATGAAGAATGTCGTGGTGGTGTGCGACAACGCGCCAGCCCACACCGACCTGGAGGCCATCCAAGCGGAGCCAGAGTTTGAGGGCGTCCAAGTCCTCCGCACCGCCCCCTACAGCGCACCCCTTAACCCCATTGAGGAGTGCTGGTCGGCGATGAAGGCGGCGATGAAGAACAGCATGACAGCCAGCTTTCAGGAGATGATGACGCCAGAGACGGGGATCTCACAGACCGAGCACCGGCTTCGATATCTCGAGCGCAACATTGATGCCGCCATGCCTCGCATCACACCCATCATGTGCATGCACGCTTGCAATCACGTCCAAAGGCACTTCGCTGGGTGTCTGGCACTCATGGACTTGGCGATGGGCGTGTGAGCGCTACACTCGTAGTGCAATGATTATCGGATTGCATGGAACGAGAACTACCGGGTGCGGCCGGGGAGGCGGTCACGGTGCCAGGTTTTCCGCGGCCGCTCCAATGTGCCGCACCGGGGGCCAGCATCGCCCATGAATTACCGTAAGAATGTAAACAGCGCACTTGTTGTCAATGAATTACACCGACATTTATTGGTATTGAGCATGATCAGTGATGTTTGTACCGTACCAATATACGATGGCATTGGTTTCCCACAGCGATATTACCTCCTGCCCGGTCAGGGTTTTTGTCTTCGTCCTGGAAAGAATACAAATAAAGACGATGTCATTTGGTATTTGATTTTACATTTTCTTCTTGAAATCATAAGCAAATTGATCACTCATTGGCAATCATTTGCGACACTAATAGCTTTCTGCAGTTCGTATATTCTGCGGTCTTTCAAGCGTTTTAAACTGCATTTCAATTGTTTTAAAATGCATTTCACAAAGATTAATTTGGATCTCAACTGTTTTAATATGGGCTTCACTTGTCTTAAATTGGATTTCACTTGTTTTAATTTGGTCTTCAGTTAGATTAATTTGCGCCTAAAAAGGTGTAGAGCTTGCAGCGTATCGCACAGTCCACAATTAGCCATCATTGTAGGTACATACCTCACATTAAGCATACCCCACAGTGAAGTGTGAAGGTACCGCGTCGCAGAATGTGTACATTTCTCCCCAACCCTCCCCATTCCACAAATAAATAATCCCATTCAGTCACCCAACCCCAAACTCCAACTAACCCCCATCCCCTTCCCTATTTCTCTATTTTCCCCTAACTTCCCATCCGGCCTCCCATATCCCACCTCCCCTCCCCTCCCCCTATGACTATAATACCCTGCCCTTCCCTATCCCCCTATCCTCCCCTAACTTTCCTCCCCTCCCCTATGCCACCTCCCCTCCCCTCCCTGATAACTATGACTCCCTACCACTCCCATATCTCCCCTAACCCCCTCGTCTCCCCCCAGGACTCCGAATCTGCTGCCACCCTCCCTGCACCGACGAAGCTCGAATCCCCCTCCGTAGAGGCGACTCCGTTCTCGTGTCTCGCTGGAGAACATATTGGCTATACGGAGAACGGCGGCCTAGACCTACCGAAGGAGCATGTGGGGCAGCTTTTACAAGCCAGAGTGCTAGCGGTGGAAGCATTAGCGGCGGTAGAAGTGTAAGCAGAAGTGGAAGTGGAAACATAAGTGGAAGTGGAAGTGGCCGTGGATGTGGAAGTGGAAACATAAGTGGAAGTGGAAGTGGAAACATAAGTGGCGGTGGAAGTGGAGGTTTTATGAGAAATGTTGGAGGAGGACAGCATCCAACAAGTCCAGCGGATCGTCCCAGAGGCTGGTTCCCCCGGAGGTGTGCGGTTGAAGAGGTGGGAGGGGTGGTGGAAGGTGGGGAGGGGTGCGGGGGAGGCAGGGAGAAACAGGAGTAGAGGAAGAGAGGGAGGAGAGACAGTGGAGAGATGTAGAAGGAAGTGGAGAGAGAAGAGCAGAGGAGGAGTAGGAGAGGGAGAGGAGAAGAGAAAAGGAGGAGAGGAAAGGAGAGGAGAGAGAAGAAAGAGGGAGAAGAGAACGACGTCAGGATTGAATGTCAGGTGAGGTCGGATCGAACAATGTTGGGAAGTGGGCGACATCATATTAGCTGCTAAACGATAACTCTGAATTATATCAACGGTTCCTCCCCCACCTTATTATTATTTTTTATCATGGGTTGGTTTATAGATAACAGTAGTTCTACTGGTTATCTATGGTCGGTTTTATGTGTTCTGAGGTTGTGCATAACTAAATATCTGGCAGAGAAAGTCTGTTGGAAATAGTAAGATGCATTACCGTCTACTCCACTACACCATAAGCTAACATGCTTTATTTGCCTTTACGAAGTCCCGTTTCTCGCTTTCAGCACTCTATGCCTCTTCGACTGGTAGCGACGCTGGTGGGTCACTACTAAATCACTAGTTCATATACCGCTCACTAGGTGGCAGTGTATGACGTCGCCCGTTACTGCCGACCACAGGCACAGTTGTGACCCGTCTTGGCCCGAGACTGGAGGTCGGGCTGGTTTTGCCGACGAAGCAGTTGTCCCAACTGCTCGGCCAGAGTTGCCAGGTGCTGCCAGTTAAAGTTGCCAGGCGTTTGCCCGGTTTGCCAGATGCGTTTGCTGACGTGGGTGATCTCTATTTGAAGTCGTGTTTACCAAAGGGTGTGTCCTATATGGTGTGTCGTGGTATGTAGCGATGCGTTGCTCGAGTGAGACTTGCGACTTCATTGCCATGACAACTGGTGGTGAGTCTTGTGATTTGACGGGTGACTTTACAACAAGAGTGGACCAGTGTTTGAAATGTGTTCGACTTCTTATTATTTCAAGACACTACGATTCAACTCAAAATTAGCTCCAGTCTGACAAACGTAGGAAGGCACGGATTTAAAGTACAGCTGTTATCTATTTACTTTCCTGGATTTCTCTATACGCCCAACAACTTTGTTAACAAAATTTCAAACACATCAGACTATCTGCAGCGGCTATTTCACGCGTTTAGTATTCAAGGCGCTTTAACGCCGTTCTTTTCTTATATTTGCCAGGCTAATCTCGGATGTGTTTTCGGGTGTTGTTTGTGAGTTTTGAGTGGTTTCATGAATCATTTTACTATTGACACAAACAGCTGGCATGTTTGTGTCAATTCAAGGCGTGTTTGTGCAGTGTTTGTCTCCACGAAGTGACGTGTTTGTTTGTTGGTATATAAATAGTAATCGTCATAGTGCCTTCAGTGTTTAGATCAGGTTTCTGCCATTCCAATATCGATGTAGCAATACTTGATGTACGGTTGATAAATCGCTTTACTGAGAATAGTAATTGCTTTTGAAAACCATCGCTCTAGTTATATACGACGTGTGGTTGTTGAAACGTTACGTTGATCGTGGCTTCCTTTGGAAATTTCGTTATGTTCGTTAATCATTACCAAATGTGTGACTAGAAATTAGTGGTGTCAATCGGTTACCGAAAATTCCGGTTACCGAAAAGATATGCTGACCGATTTGGTAATCGGTCGGTCAGGCCCCCCAAAAATCGGACACTTTCGGTCACCCTGCCAGTGAAACTATTTTCAAAAAGAGAAAGTATTTCATTTTTGCCTAGTTATAATGAAATTTATTGGGATGTTAATGATAGAGTTGCAAAATTTCCCCCAAATGCCAAATGCCACATTTTGGCAACTTCATTAGCCAACCCACCCAGCAGGCAGCAGCCACCCATTGTCCAACCACAACTACAAGCAGGCTGATATTGACTCAGTTGGCCCCACAAGTACGCACAATTTTGAAACTCTATTCCAGTCTAACTGTTAAAATTTCACCTGTAATCAAAGAAGTATTGCAGGGGCGTCGCCGACGGGGGGGTCGGGGGGGTCGTGACCCCCCCACTCTTGAAAACTGGGGGTGTCGACCCCCCCACTTTTTGCGATGCTGAGTATGCTTTTTTAGCTTTTATGTCAGTGAAGCAGGCGTCAGCAACACCAACAAATACATCAGATTCAGAATCGCTTCAAGAGCTCCCTAAAGCCAATTAGCCAATTACCTAAAGTTCAACTAGCTGTGGGCGGGGAACACCAGCACGACAATATTTTTAAGTAGCCACCATTCTAGTACCTTTTTATCCCTCAAAGGGTTGGACGCGCCAAAACTGCCCCGAGCGTTCGTCTGATCGTTAAAAAAAAAAAAAAAATGGTCGCAGTCGATTCGTCGGATCAGTACCTAACTACAAAACTACAAACTAGCCTCAGCCCCATGGCTATCGTCACAACTAGCTGTACAGTGCACATGTAGGGGAAAGGGAGTCAGATGAAACCGTCTCGGGCTTTCGCAAAGAAGTCGCGCAAAAGGAGCCGATTGCAACGAAACTTCCGGTACGCTCGTGTTAATCACCTACTTAAAAATAAATCGATATCTTTGATTCAAATAACGATGACCTTGGTTCACTTTTTCATAACATGCTTTTAATTTAGGTATAGGATAGTTTTTGGAGCTGATTTTGAACTTAGCGCCCATCTGAACATTTAAGAAGTAGTTGTGTTGCTTATACATATGTATAACATGTTAGGAAGCAATCGGTGGTGGTCATCCACTATTAGGTACTGGTCGATCTGACCTGACCTGACCTGATCTACCCCAAATGCATGGAGTCATCATCTTCGTTCAAAACTAAGATAACATTCGTAATCAGAACCTCGAAAAACCATCACAGCTTACGTTCGCAAAGTTCTAGCAGGTCCAGAGTTTCCCTACGTATTGGCGATGACCTGAGTCCTGAGATGACCCGAAACCTTGTAAATGGGTATCATCGGCTTTCTCTCGTCACGGGCAGCATGCTCTTTTTTTCCGCAAACCTCTAGATCGATCAGGGGTCGAAAGCATACATCAGCGTTTATAAGTTAGCGACTGGGAGCCCACCAATAGAAGGGCTACAGTGAAGCAGAAAACATATTTGATAGCTCTTTCAACGCTCTTTCGCTAGCTTCGGGTCAGATTTCATCTCAGGTCTATGTTTTGCCCATAGAAGGCAAACAGCTAACTGGACAGATTCTGCCGAAACATTTGCTTTGCAATAACTTTAGATTCCGTGAGTTTGTGTGGTATTTACATATGTTGTCTTGTCACCACTGTGTTTATCTCTTTGAGACGCGTCACATGAGTTAAAATTTGACCATTCAGAATTAACGTTAAAACGACCTCAGGTCAACGTTATGTCCTGATCGAAAAAGGACCTCCTGCTGCATATGAATGGATCCGTGTTGTCGAGCTGAACTATGAACACCTTCCAGGTGCTGTCATCGCTCTACCGCGTCTTCGTCAAAAGTTGTAGAAAAAAAATGCTGGTGGCCATCGATGGACATTTCCACTAATGACCTTTCGAGTCATCACTCGCCATAAGTTGCACCCTGTCCCTGGCAATGATGAGCTGATTTGTCATGGCTCCAAAGATATTTTGCGTTTCTGACGAACTTTTTCAAAGCAGGAGGCATTCGTGCTTTTTATAATTTCTCATTATTTTCTAATGATGAGGTCACGTATTTGATCTGCCTCCAGATCATAGATGTAAATCTTCAGAATCATGAATTGCTGACACGTATAACCCCATACATTAGGTATACAGTGTACCAAATTTCGAAGTTATGGGAGAAAAGCTACAAGAATGGCGAGAGGGGAAAGTTTGATAGAGGTATACCGTATAACTGAACTTGACATGGCGACCTGACCTTAACCCTCGCCCTGGCAGGGGGGGGGGTCGATGCGACCCCCCCCCCCTAAGGTTTTTCGAAGATAGCGTAAAAACGGCGGCGCGCAGCGCCGCCAAATTTGGCACAGCCTATGGGGCAACCTTTTTACATATGACCTGAAAATTTCAGGTCCGGGTGACCTTGGGTCAGGTCACCAGGTCAGAAAAACCGGTACAAGGTCATGGTCAAATTTCAATTTTCTTTTTGCACCTGTCCAACTCACAGTTTTGGACTGATTTCCTTCAAACTTTCAGGATGTGCTAAGTTCACCGAGTTGTATAACATATAGTTCGGGTTTTTTGAGGTCACTGACCTGAGGTCAGTTAGAGGTCATTACGTCGTAATGTTAAGCCTATGGGAAAATACTAAATTCGGAAAATAATGGAGATATCCGCTTCTTTCTATCACTTTTGTCCTTTGAAACCACAGTACTTAGCAGCAGGTCACTTGGTGCTTCTTTGCTCGGTGTACTTATCCATGGGTCAGGTCAAATGAGGTCAACTGAGGTCAAATGACGTTTTTGCCAATAACTTGGCACATAATGACGCTAGAGCTTAAAAAATGGTATCATTGTGTTCCTGGTGATCAGCCGAATCGAATGATATGCGATATGATGCAATTTGGTTAACTAGAACTTAATTTATTAAGTTAAGTTTACTTAAAATTTAAGAAAAACTTTAAGTACACTTAAGCAAGCTAAAAAGTATATCATTCGACGCGCCTTGACGTGCTGAGTTCACTGGTGCTTTTCTTTTTGCTCTATCGAAATTAGATCAAAAGTTATAAGCGAAAAACTTTTGACCTGTTTTTAGCAAAATTTTTACATTTATACCCCCCAAAACCCCCCTAAATATTGACCTAGAGCAACCAAATTTGCACAGGGGCGAGAACTCCAGGGGGCCCACCTACCTACCAAATTTGGTGTTTCTAGGTGCCATAGGAGCCAATCGCGAGGGGGGGGGGTCGCATCGACCCCCCCCCCCCTGCCAGGCCGTGTTATGAAAAATGCCCTGCCAGGGCGAGGGTTAAGTGACCAGTGATAATTTTTACGCAAGTGATGTAGGTAGGTATACCTACCTAATAGGTTATACCAAATTTCGCGGCGCTGCGCGCCGCTTTGTTACACGCGCACACATGCACATACGCACGCACAAAACTGGGAAGTGTGGCAAAAAAACCCCTACCCATCGGGTGAAGACTAGAAACCCGACCCCCCCACTCAAAAATCCGTGGCGACGCCCCTGAAGTATTGCCTACAAAAATCATTATACAGTCATCAAAAATGCAAGGACAAAAATAACTTGAATTACTGAAATGTGTTTCTGAAGACTGGACAGTTAGCACTTAGCACTTAGCAGTGATCACATTTACATTTCACAGGTGTTCTACTATCCCACATTCTCCTTAAATATTGCAGGTACCAACCAAATGTTTGAAATCTAGATGACCACAACATAAAAACATAGGAATCTTGAGAAAAACTACATCGGCCCATGTCCGATTTCTGGAATCTTCCACATTCCAAACACAAGGAAGGATTTCGAAACAGATGCGCCATAACAGAGACTTTAAACCAGCTGATTAAGTTGCTGCAAAAAAAGTTTTGGATTGTTACATGCTGCCTCGTGAATTATTTTATTGATGTAAATGATCCAACACGATATTGAATTCTAATGAAATCAACATTGTGAGTGTAATTCACTACAAGAAAATTAATTTCCCTTCAATAATTCGACCAAAAGGGCATATAAATAAATATTACGTCATCAACATAGTACATCCTTTCGTTACGGAAGAGAGGATCTTAAAAGTCAATCCTTGGTTCAGTCTATTACTTTTTGCGCCACTTTGGCGCCACTGTGTAGGTATTAATTTTGTCTGCATATTTTGTTTTCTTGTAAAGATAAGACAAACAAGAGATAAGACAAAGTGCCTGTGTAATGAATTTTCATTTCATTTTTGGGACAAAATTCAAGCTCAGAGCTACCTAATACCTGCCTTTTCAGCTGGATTTTCAGTGTCAAATTATTTGTAGAGTATCTCAGACCACATCTCAAGACTCAAGGCAAGTTTCCAAGCAGTTTTGATGTGTTTTGTGGTGTTTTGATTCTGCCTTTTCTCCTAGGGAATGTTGTCATGAACATACCTATTGCCAACCATTTGACTATACTAATTGATCGTGCTTTTGCAACATGAATGAGCATTCTTCCTTACATAGACCACAGTAGATTCTTGACAATTCTAATCAACTAAATCTGTGAAATGCTGAGGTCCATGTGTTGCTACCCTCAGCAATGTAACTTCTACCACAATATGTATTTTGCAGTGGCTAAGAATTGACTGAACTTGGACTGAAATGCCATTTCCCATTATTTTCCATCAGAATTTACCAAATATTTTAATTTTGGGGTAGAGTAATAGCAAATAGAAGTTCGGTCAAATTTCGGTCAAATTTTGGCTTGGGATGTTATCGGTCGGTATTCGGTCGGAAATTTTTCCCAAATTTTGGTTTCGGTCGGTATCGGTCAGACATTTTTTGGAAAATGACATCACTACTAGAAATGCAATGTGTGCTTTAGGGTGTTGTATCAATAAGGTGTAGGTTTGCACAAGCAATGTTGATACGCATGCATTCATTTAAGAAAATAAGCTTATCGTGCGTTCAGCTTTAAAATCTAGCTTGGTGAAATAGAAAGAAGA